TTAACTTTTGCAGCACAGCCAGGAAAAGTAGGTGGGAAAAATAAATCAACCTTGGAGATAAGTAACCACAGATATCCCCAAATACACCTTATCTCTCCACCTCAACCTTTGTGTGAACCTCACACATGTCTCACAGTGACCTGAGTTTGTCAGGTCCTTTAAAGTTAGAGACGATGTTCACACCCTATGCCTGTCCATTTGTCTTATTCTATCAAAGGAAATAAAAGTGCTTGTGAAAATACACAAAGTTTTACTTTCTTTTGTTTACCAGTCTGTTTCTGGTATGGATAACAGACGTTATGCATACTGTATGTGTATGCATATGGATATGAACAATCTCAAAGAATAGCAAAAAAGAAAGAAGTAAGAAAATGCAAGAAGTTGCATATGTTTGAAAGTGTTAGAGATATTTGTAAAAAGAATTAGCATGTATATAAGAAAATGTGTTTGAATTAATTCCACATCAGTCTTTCCATGTGATAAAGTGCAGTTTGTACATATAAAACACTTGAGTGGTAAATGATAAAACATGCAATGTTGGAAATAGATACAAGCATGTAATAAATAGACAAATCATGTAATAAACTGATGTGTAATGTTGTATTTGACTGTAATAATAGCTTGTAAACATTTGTTTGAGATGTTTTGGAGCATAAGCACATTTTGATTTCTATGTCTTCTGAGCTGAAACAGGTACTGCAGTTGTACTGCAGTAGCTTTCCTCAATGGGTACATTTCTTTTGCGCGACTATCACCTCCACCTATCAAATATCACATACTAATAAATATTGTAATATTTTTGATACTGCAATTTTTGGTAAACAACACTAGGGTCCAAAAGTGTGAGACCACCTTGCCCAGAATGGGGTGAGGGTTAGGATGCAGAGGAATCATCATCATGATTTTGTATTTACTGTATTTAAGAGGATACACTGCAATCCAACGTTATGGGAATTTAGGGAATTTCAATGATACTCTAATAGCTGTGTACTGTTTACTTTCATTTGACCAATGCTGTACAGTCACAGGAAACATTCAATTCTTCCATGAGCAATGGAAACTTGAGCTGCTGGAGGAGGTTATATTGTGAGTAGGGAGTGCTACATTTGATATGGAGTAAGGCTGTTTGTGTGTGGTCCAGCTCTTGATGAGAAAAGATAAAAACATTTCATTCCACTGACTTGTTTAACAAACAAGTTCAAAAACATGCAAAACCCTGGGACACTTTGGCCTTGGCCTAGTATTCATGTTCATTTCTGGCCGTTCTGATGTCCACCTAGCTCCACCCCAGTGGCAAAGGGCAACAAGAATTTGATAGAGTTTTTGAAGGTTGCATAACATCATGAAAGACATATATATATGTCAGATGTTTTACCACAAACTGTGCAGATACAGACATGATGAAGTTTGTGGTTCTTGCTCTCTTTGTTGTTGGTGGTAAGGATCACACACGGCACTGTTACATCCATCTGTTCACTTGGTTTTTCCAGCTTTCACTGAATGTAGATGAATAAGTGTGTGCACAGGTTCACAATTTTAATAGAATGCGTCTGTCTGTTCCCCTCAGCCTACGGGTGCGGCCTGCCCACTTTCCCCCCTGCGGTGACCAGGGTGGTTGGAGGACAGGATGTCAAGCCTCACAGCTGGCCCTGGCAGGTAAAACACGCTGAATGAGAGAAAACAAAAAACAGAAAACAAGATATGTGCTGTCAGAAAAATACGTCTTTAAGACCTAGGACTTCAAGAAATCAAATGGGGATCATAGCTAAAATATACAGTGCAGCATGTGACAGGTAGACTAGAGACCAAAACTCTCACAACATCATGCAATGTGGAGTCGCAGAAAATAAAAATATGAATATGAAAGAGGAAAGGCAAGAAATGCTTATTTGTGTTAAAATTATTATTATATTATATTATATTATATTAAAAAAGAAAAGCTTAAGATAATTGATTGTGTTCATATGTATGTTTCAGATTTCCCTGCAGTACAACAGACAGGGTGAGTGGAGACACACCTGTGGAGGTACCCTGATCTCCCACCAGTGGGTCCTTACTGCTGCTCACTGCATCAGGTATGAAATAGTGGAGCCCAAATTCAATCCCTGAAAAGAGCCTTTGAGTTGAAACATTGCTCGCTTCATGTTCTTCTGTCTGTGAACTTACAGCAACAGCAAGGAGTACAGAGTGGCCATGGGAAAGCACAACCTGAAAGTGACAGAGGAGGGTGCTGTGTTCATGGGCACCGCTAACATCATTGTGCATGAGAAGTGGAACCCCCTGTTCATCCGGTAAAACATTTCTTCTCACTGAGGACATGGATAAGAAGCAAGAGACTTTGCTGAAAACCAAAAAGATCTTTTCAGTAGGTCAAGTCTATGAGAAATCTAAATGTGTGTGCGTGTGTGTGTGTGTGTGTGTGTGTGTGTGTGTGTGTGTGTGTGTGTGTGTGTGTGTTTCCTCTCCAGTAATGACATCGCCCTGATCAAGCTGGAGTCCCCTGTTACCCTCTCTGACTCTATCATGGCTGCTTGTCTCCCTGCTGCCGGCTTCATCCTCCCCCATGATGCACCCTGCTACGTCACCGGATGGGGTCGCATCAAAAGTGAGTGCCCAGTCTCTTTCCCCTCTTTGAGACCAATTCAGTTGAATTTAAGTGCTCACTTGGTACCAACGTTGTGTGTTATAATCCTATGTTTGTAACAAACTATCTGTAATTATGGCAGTTTTACTGCGGTTTAGTAAAATATTAACAGTTCCTCAGTATTCGTGGTAGTATACAGGATTATATACAGTATTAAGGTATATGCACTGTATTCTAAATATAAATGTAAAACCACAGGATCAAGTTATTAGTTGGTTGCTTAGCAGGGGCAATACTTACAGTATCTGACAAAAATGCTGATGGCAATTATTGAAGTACAAACAAAGTTATTCAAAAGATTTTTTTTTTTGCCTTTTGGAGTTGTCTCTGGTTAACTCGATTATACACTGGCTGGATTGTCTTGTTTATTCTGACACAAAATACCAGAGAATGACTTTATTTCCAAACAAGAGAATTAGTCAGATCCATTAAATAGAGACCACATTGTTTGGCTTAAAGCTACAGCTGATGAAACATCTGTAAAAGTGGTGAAGGTTGTGCATCTCATCAATGTGTTACCTGAGCTGAACTCTCCTCCACACAGCCGGAGGTCCCATCGCTGACATCCTGCAGCAGGCTCTCCTGCCTGTGGTGGACCACGCTACCTGCACCAAGCCTGACTGGTGGGGAGCTATGGTGAAGGACACCATGGTCTGTGCAGGCGGAGACGGAGTTGTGTCTGGTTGCAACGTGAGTCTAAAATAATGAATGACACAATCACATCGTTGTATAAAATGACACATCATACTGTAGTATCATTGTTTTCTGGTGTCAGCAAACTGGACACAGCAAACTACGCTCACGTTTCCTCAACCTGTAAACTTGCCATGTTTTATAGAGAGGATCAGCAAAGCTATCTTTTACTTTGTTTTAATTCTGCAGTTACTGTGGAGAATATATACACTTCAGTATTTATTTTTTCAATCATTCCAGCTTCTCAAATGTGTACATTGGCTTGTTTTCTTTGTCTTCTATGATATAAGTATCATTATATTATCTATTATATTACTAAATATTTTTGGTTTTTGGAATGTTGGACAAAACAAGCCGTTTGATTATGTAAAGAGGCTTTTGAAACTGAGACAATGAGAATAATTGTTACACAAACAGTCACGGCTCTGTTCCTTTATATTTTTGTGCTTTAACTGAGATTCTTCCTCTGATACTGTGTTATTTCCCAAAAAATCAAACAACTATTTTATCTGATTTTTATACTGTTTTGTGAATAACATATTGTAATTGAGGGAAATGTCAGTTAGAAGGTCTAAAAATATCGAGATAAGACGAGTAATGTTTGATGCAAACACTGGACTCACTGTGTGTCTTTCAAGGACAAGAAGTTAGTCCTAAATTTGGATTTTTGGATCAAATGTTTTCTCTCACATGGTTCAGGGAGACTCTGGCGGCCCTCTGAACTGCCAGAGCACTGATGGCGCCTGGGGGGTTCACGGTATCGTCAGCTTTGGCTCAGGCCTCAGCTGCAACTTCCCAAAGAAGCCCACTGTCTTCACCCAAGTCAGCTCCTACATCGACTGGATCAGCTCCGTAAGCTCCCGACCCTCGCTCACTGACTGACTTCAGGGGTTGAAGTCATGAAATCCATAAATACGCTTTTTATTTGTGCTATTTCATTCATGTTTCAAAGATGAAACTAGCAAAGAATCTGGATAATGAATTACTTATCCCTGCTGGTATTGCACTAAATCTAACATGTCTCTCTCCTCTCTTCCACAGAAAATGGTGGCCTATTGAGAGGACAGTCTTTTGGGATGAAAGCCACTTTGTGGACATGTAAAATAAATGATGTGGAACTAAATAAAAAGTCAAGACTGTGTGTTACTGTGTGGTTTGTACCACTTAGCAGGTCAGCAGTTTCCCAAAAATATGCAAAGCAACTAAAGTTTTCTGACTATTAAGCCTGAGTAGTTCAGTTCAGTTAATTATATTCTGACAACTATATAATATAGGACAGACAGACAGACAGACAGACAGACAGACAGACAGACAGACAGATAGACAGATAGACAGACAGACAGACAGACAGACAGACAGACAGACAGACAGATAGACAGACAGATAGATAGACAGACAGATAGATAGATAGATAGATAGATAGATACTTTATTTTTCCCCTAGGAAAAATTCATGTAAATAAATTTAAATGACAGCAAAAAAGGTTCCAATGTCCCCCAATAGGAGCACTGATGGGAAAATCCTATCACCAACCACATGATGTTTGGTGTCTCCAGCCCATGTTTGACTTCCTGCATGTGTCGGCCAGGTTTCCCAGCACATGCATACACCATATTGTGGTTCCTAGCCTACTGTATAAATACAAGCCTGTTGATAACACGACATTAGGGCTACATACTCTACAGTCATGAGCATGAGGAGTCTGGTGGTTCTCGCTTTCGTGGTAGCTAGTGGTAAGACATCTTGAATATTCTCACATATGTTGCGTAAAACTCTCTTTCTGTAGTATAATCCAGATAAATAGTCCCTTATTAGCCATGTAAAGAGCACTAATTATATTTTGTTTGAAAATAATGAAATTGTTTAAGCTTCACTGAACTTGGCTGTTCATTCTTGGCTATAATTAATCAAATTACCTTCTGTTTTTTTATGTGTAGTCTGGTGCTAAAATAACATATCACCTTGTCCCAGCCTATGGCTGTGGTGTTCCCACTTTCCCCCCTGTGCTGAGCAGGGTGGTGGCGGGAGAGGATGTCAGGCCTCACAGCTGGCCCTGGCAGGTAAGGTCCAGCCTAAATGTGTAAAAACATGTTCACTCTTACAACCACAGAGCAGCACCAACTCTTTTCACTAACGTTTGACTGTGTAGTAATGCATACTGCGCTCTCTCTTCTCTGCTCAGATCTCGCTCCAGTCAGGCAGCAGCGGGCGCTGGATGCACGTCTGTGGAGGCACCCTCATCTCCGCTGACTGGGTCCTCACTGCTGCCCACTGTATCAAGTAAGTACAACTTAACACAAGGGGGAGGCTGTCGGCATAATCGAAATCACAATATGGCAAAGATGGGGTGTGAAGCAGAGCTGCCCCACATTTTGTTTTAATCACTGACAATCCACTGCTGCAGATTTCCTCCTCCGGTTTCTGGTTTTTGAACATTGTTGTTGGTCACAAATATCTATATTTATCGTTCTACTAGGAATAAACTAACTGATAAATTGTCAATTGTGTTAAATTAATTATCCCTGACAGTTTTATTTAATTAAGACCTCTTTGCTTCTCTTTATCTTCGATTGACGGTGGGAAGAAAAAGTATATAAACCCTTTGGAATGACCTGGTTTTCTGCATAAACTGGTCATAAAATGTGATCTGATCTTCATCTAAGCCACAACTACAGGCACAATGTGCTTAAGACATTTTTATTAGTGCTACATGTTCCTGCCAAACAAGTCAACCATGGTTTCATCAGTCCACAAAACATTTTCCCAGTAGCATATGTGGTAGTGGTTCTTTGTTACGTTACTGAGCGCTCTGTATTTTGCCTTTGGAGTCATCTTAGCTGGATGTGCACTTCTAGGGGAAGTATCCACAGAACTAACTATTCTCCATTTATAGACAGCTTGTGTGACTGTGGACTGATGACTATCTAAACTCTTTGAGATGACTCTGTAATGCTTTCCAGCTTTATGCAAATCAACAATTTTTTGGGTAGGTCTTCTCAGGTCTCTTTTTTCTGAGGCATGTTTGATTCACATCAGTAGCTCTAACCAACATCTCCAATCTGGCTTCACTGACTGGACTCCAGGTTTGAGAACTCCTGATTCCAGTTAGCTTATATTAATGTCATTAAATGAAGGGTCAACATACTTTTTTCCAACCTACTCTGAATATTTGACTGATGTTTTCAACATGGCCAAGAACAGGACAATGTTTTGTGTCTTTTAGGTCAAATAGATTGTGTTTGTTCATAACTGTCACTTAGATGAAGATCAGCTCATACTTTAAGACAAATTTATACATAAATGTATACAATTTACAAACAGTTCACTTACTTTTTCGTGCTGCTGTATACTGTATAACTCAGTAATGATTCAATGTGCCCAGTTCATGAAAGCATTCATATTTACTACTGTATGCTAAATCACAGGTGTGTGCCAGGAGAACAGAAGAGTGGCCCGCAGAAATGTTCAAACTTCACAGTAAAGACAATTTGCAGTCAGAAAAGAAACCAGTTAAAAATTGTTTGATCACACAAACCAACCTCTAAAGGACTACCAAGCTTTCACGATGCTTCATTAACTTAATCGCAGTTTCACACAATTCAATGCTACTGTTTAAATTCCTAAGCAAACACCACGCCATCTTCCATCTCACAGTGATCGCAACAGATACAGAGTGGAGCTGGGTAAACACAGCCTGAGGGCGAGCGAGGAGGGCTCCATCGCTGTGGGAACAGCAAAAATCATCACTCATGAGGACTACAACTTCATGCTCAGCCGGTAACAGCAACAACAGTCCAGTCAACTCAGTGTCACCTTATAAGTCCAAGTGAACGGTGTAATGAACAAGCCCTTGTGTGTAAACAGATGATCAGTGATTAGTTAACTGGCATTTTTTTTTAAATGGTGGAGGGTGATGCAGTAAAATATTAATGTAACATGTACCATGTCATGTTTATCTTCACTTGCTGAATCTGAGTGGATTGTTTGGACTTTTGCAGTAACGACATTGCCCTGATCAAGCTGTCTTCCCCTGTGACCCTCTCTGACACGGTCATGCCAGCCTGCCTCCCAGACCGGGACTTCGTCCTGCCCCACGGCTCTCCCTGCTATGTCACCGGCTGGGGTCGACTCTCCAGTGAGTCAGTGCACCTCAGCAGGAGAGAAAAAAGAATCACTCCATCATCACAAATATTCTGAATATTATTCAATTATTCTTTACAGTCATTGCCCTCAAGTTAGTTTTGGTGCACGCCAGCCAGTGTAGGTCGACTTCGAGAGATCAAAGCGAAGAATATTTCTCAGCCATTAGCTCAACAAAACAAAATGTGACAAATATTCAAACTGTTTAATAAGCAGAGCCTAGAGCTAACCATGCCTTAAGTAGAGATTCAGTTCCTGCCACTGCCAGCTGCTGACATGTTCATCCTGGATTCTACGTAAATACTACAAGATAAACTACGTGAAAAAAGGGGTGGGTGGATACAATACGTTCATGGTTGTACAAAGTAATTTTTCCGTCCCATAAATATTCCCAAGAAACAAATAATGAACAAAAGGAATTGGCTATACATGTATACATCTAAGAATATGGATATTCTTTTTTTAAATTCAAATCCTCTTAAAATAATAGCTGCACTTTCAAGGAAAATGCTACACTGCTGATTCTCATCTGACTGATGCAGAGACAGTGAGGTGAAAGTTTTACGCCTTCAAAACCAGGATGCATGTTGTTTTTAGTAACATGTGATGGAAAGCATGGCTTGTAATCCTCGCATGAGTCGAACATATAGAGATGTTTGACTGTGCTGTGAGCTTCCTGTCTTTTGCTGGAATTTGAAGGTTCTACACACTCTGGCACCACAGGACTGTGTTTAAGCTCAGTTAGAAGTTACAACAGAGGGGCAAGTTTGGTAGTACCAGAGCTATCTGTGAAGTCAGGGTTAGTGTGGTGCACACTTATAATATGACAGGCAGTGATGGAAAAAGTATCCAGAGCCATTACAGTAGGAGTCCTGTATTCAAGTCCTGTATTCAAGATAGAAATAGACAAGTACTATCAGCAGGATGTATTCACTCTTACTTATGTATGTCCCCTTTATACAGAAACACTGCTCCTGTAACTGATGCTCATATTACATTATAAGATTGTTAATACTGATGCATTAACGTGCATATAGCATTTCACTGTTGCAGCTGGTTGTAGCTTTATATAGTGCAGTAGTTTAGTCCTGTGCTTCACAACCTAGGGGTCCCGCCACCTTTATACCGGTCACAATCTGAGGGGTCGTGAGATGATTATGAGCTGGGCAAGGAAAAAAAGCAACAAACCTTTACAGTCATTTAAATGAAACTGAGAAGACTAATGGGAAATATCTATTTGATGGAACTGCTAACAACTCATAGGACTTCTGAAATGTGACAGTGGGCCCCAACTAGACACTGCTTTCATCCGTTTAGCTTTAATCTTCAACAATGTTAATTTTTATAATCTTAATATATGATTTTTAATCTATAATCTTAGTCTGTCAAATAAGTAGTGTGAAAAGCAAAATATTTCCCTCTGAAATATAGTGGAGCAGAAGTATAGAGTAGTTTAACATGGAGATAAAGTACAAAGTACCTGAAAATTGTTCTTAAGTACAGTACTTGATTAAATGTATTTAGTTACTTTCCACCACTGATGATAGGATGCAACATTTTAATAGAAAAACATTGAAATATAAAGTAGAACATAAAAGTTAAATATAGCTCAAGAGCCAGACCATTTTCAGCACTTACGATACCATTAGTTTTGGTATTAAATGCCATCTTCTCACTCTCTACCCTGAACACTACTAACAGCAGAAATGATCTCCATCCAGCACCTCAGCTTAACGCTGTCCCCCTGAGGAACCACCCTTGTTTCTTACCTGAGATAAGCGTGTTTCCTCCCCACAGCCAGCGGTCCTCTGGCTGACATCCTGCAGCAGGCTCTCCTGCCAGTAGTTGGCCATAACATCTGCAAACAGCCCGACTGGTGGAGCGTCCTGGCAACAGACAAGATGGTCTGTGCTGGCGGAGATGGCATCACTGCTGGCTGTAACGTGAGTACATACAAGGATATATCAGTCAGTTACAGCAGTCAGTTATGTCATCTGTAAAATTTCCATCTTGTGTAGTATAGAAGATTCTAGGAAAGGAGAAATGGTGTAAAAGGAAAATTCAGCATGACAAAATGATCACTGGTTAGCCCCATGCCTGTGTGTCTAAGCTGTTAGCCAACACTGTGTGTGTGTGTGTGTGTGTGTGTGTGTGTGTGTGTGTGTGTGTGTGTGTCTACAGGGAGACTCTGGTGGCCCCCTGAACTGCCAGAACCCCGATGGCTCCTGGGACGTCCACGGCGTGGTGAGCTTCGGCTCTGGTCAGGGCTGCAACGTCTTCCAGAAACCCACTGTCTTTACACAAGTCAGCTCCTACATCAGCTGGATCAACACAGTGAGGAACATTTTCACTTTGTGATTACCATGCCAGCATAAACAATGCAATCTGAAGCGAACAAAGCCTCAGCTTTCAAAAACAGGAAGCATATTATAATTGTGTTTTCTGTTGTTCACTCCACAGATTATGACCAAATACTGAAGAAACTATTCAAGTACGTCTGTCTGCAATAAAAACAACTATGATCTAAGATGTGTTGTTGTATCAGTGTTACTGTAAAAAAGGTAGATGTTGTTTATCAGTGCTAAACACACCATTTTAACTTGGCCATGTAGGCCCTTCACAGCTACAGTAAATATCATCCAGACATTTGTCTCACCGTTGGATACAGTAGCTGTATATTAACCAAAGATTAGTGAACAGTAACAACGCTGGAAAATATTGATGTTAAAATGTCAGTATGAATTACGATTCAGTAATCATAGCAAAATACACTTCTTAAATGCTAGGTTAATTAACAAATACTTCCTTTTATTTCTTATAAAATATTCATGAGATCATTTTTTCCCACTCTTCAGGAAAAACAAACATTCATTCTCCACAAACATATTAGAATTATCATAGAAAAGTATATTTTCACAGTACATATAAAAAGAAACAAAGACATAAGTAATAAAAAAAAAAGCAATAATAAATGAAACAGACAACAAACATCATGTGTTTCGGACACGTATCTAAGTAAAATAGAAAGTGACTGCTAAATCAAAACACTCATTCATCGATGTAAAACATTTTGACTATATAGTCATAAAATCAGTCATGTAGTTATCTGGTCCTTTGCCATTGAGGTACAATGACTGTCTGCAGTAGTGAACAGGACACAAAATAAAGAATCAATATACTGTGCGACACATTTCAACATAGCTGTTGTGCGCTGCCTTCCAATGACAAACCTGAAGTGACTCAGTGACCTTGTTGGCTTTATCTTGACAGAAAACCTGGTAATATATAATATAACCAGCTGACAATGAGTATCTAAGTCTCTTTTTTGCATGATTTGGACTGAATTTTACTCAGACACAATGTGGAACTGGGTGATGACGTCACTGATGAAGAAGTGTCTTTTGTCCCACAAAACAAAAGAGGGGAAGAATCTTGTGTGACCTTTAAAAATGTAATGTTTAAGTGAATGAAAAGATAAATCATTCACTTTGGCTACAGCTGTTCACATCTAAACAAGTCTAACCATAAGAGGAAAGGAGAGTTTGTTGATGATGACTGAATAATCCTGAGCTGTCTCTCGTCTCTCGCTGCTCATTCTCTGCAAACCTCTGAGTGAAAATGGCTGCAAGTTGAGCTGTGGTTGGAGGAATGGTGATGAGCAAGCGAGTGAGCAATAGCTGCTGTTATTATGGCGCAGCTGCACGGTCAAAGACTCTTTCTGTTGGTCATCTCGAATCAGAACAAAAACAAGTCCAGAGAGAAGCAGAGACTACACTACTGCCTTCACAGCCTAACAGCGTTCACCATGGCTACTGCCAAAGGCTTTCAGCTATTCACGAGCTCCTTCCAGACTGCTCTCACATACTTCCTTCTCTACCCACTATTTGCAGGAGTAAGAGCAACGCTGCATTTAGAAGAGCAGTGGGAGAGATCAGATTCTGTCATACTATGTCTTTTGAAATGCTTTAGGAAGAGCAGTAGTATTGTTCTGAGCACAAAGGCATTTAAATGTACATTAGTGTGTAGAGCTGGAGGACAAACTGTGTTGCAGCTGCAGCAAGTTAGAATCACCACTCATTAAAAGACACCACAAAATGAGACCCTGAGCTTCCTGGAAAATGGTTTCTTCCCAGAATGCAGTTTCTATTAAATGGTGACCTAATGGTGAGGTTAATGGTGAGCACTGGTGCTGCACTAGTGAGAGTTAATATAAATTTCAGGCCTTAAATACAGTGCACCCTGGATTTTTTTTTTTGAAAACAGCCGCTGCCTTTCTCTCCCAAACTGCATCCCAGCTAATTTATAATTTTGAATGGCGTTTTTTTTGCTAACATAAATTGTCCGGTTGAGTGTAATAATATATGCATATCAACTACCTGCTGCCTGTCGAGCACAAAGCAGCGGAAAGCTGCTTGTGAGAAGGTTTTAGCAGTTAGTAGCAGTTAGCTAAAGACCCAGCAATTTTTCTCCATTGTTGGTGGAATCCAACCCATACCTTCCTCTTCTGATAATCAACACACTACTGGACAGCAAGATTCAAGTGACATGATACTATATGGTAAAACAAGTGATATTTTGTTAGCATTCAACAACCATGTTTCCCATTAGGTAGAGTGCCTATTGCTATGAGTCATGGGAGCTGTGGCTGATAAATGCTGAACAAGCTTGGTTTTATCTTAATCAAAATGGAAGATTCTTAAATGGTGCTGTCCAGTAGACACTCCACCTTCGTCAAGAAAACCCCCATTATCATGTTTCAGCTTTTCAGACAGACAGGCAAAGGAAACTGATCCAAAAGCTAGTGAGAAAAAAAGAACTTAACATGGAAGAAGAGCAGGACTCCCGTTCTGTCGAACATGCAGTCAAGTCTCTCTAGAGCTTTAGAGGACCACGGGACACAATATTGTTGACAATGTGGTGGAGTGTTTCTGTGCAGCATACCACATCAGGTCAAGCCAGCTGAATACAGACAAGGCTCAGTCACTCAGCGCTGAGCTAACATCTGGTAAACTGCTGGCTGAAGCAATCCAAAGCCTCACACAGTGAAATACTTCCTAGACTTCTACACACATCTTATGACTTCGTCCAGCGTCAACTCACATGTCCGGTCAGTGCACAGTGGAGGTCAGTTACATAACATAAACAGAAAGCTACTTTGACCTGACAGAAAACTGCATTTGGTGGGTGCTTTGAATCCAATTGTGACAGAATCTGCCGCAGTAAGAAAGAATCCAACAACTATGTCCGTCACCATTTGTCTAAAAACCTTATCTAAAAAAATAATGTTTTTTTCAGGTCTTTGCTTTGGAGTGATGTGGCATTAATGATGAATTTCAACAGATATTGAATTTTATAATAAAGTGCCACTGGGAATGTTCTGCAGGAAGAGCCATCTTCAAGTCTTGGCTTAATGAGGCAGATCCAGATCCACAAAAGGTGATCACAGCAAATTCCAGGAATTTCAGTAGATTGTTTCAAACATCATCAGCTTGATCTTAAAGTGGAGGCACTTTATCCTCATACTGTGGTGGTGGAGTAAGTGGCTCTATACTGATTCCAGCTCCTGGCTGAGAGTTATCAATGTTTTTCATGTGCAGCTTCTCTGATTTAATCCTGCGGATCTTGATAGGGAGGAGCTTGCGGCTATTTTTCCCAGGTCGACGATTTGATGCGGAAGTAGCAGTAGTGGGAGCACTGGAAGCTGGAACAGGCTGTGATCCAGTAGTTGTGACCTCTGACCCCTCATATTCATACTGTACACCGTCGACTTCAACCAGGTCATCATAGGAAGGTAGATGGGAGGAGATTGGGGGATGGTTGGTCTGACGAACAGGGTACTGGCCGCTGCCTACTGCCTCTTCATAGCTGGGTACGGCGTACCGCTGGGCTTGTTCCTCAGCACTGCAGACATTCATAAAACATTTTTTTTTAAAGTTAACATGGCTGTTATTAGATGAATAATGTGAATCTGTACGCTGCTTCAAACATTGTCTGTGCCTGTGTCTGTGCTTTCAGCTGTTTTACAGTGATGTAATTTTGACAAAAACAATACCATGAGACAGCTATGATTGTCAATGTCACAGATTATCTATCTAAATCACTAGTTTTAATACTCACATTTCTCTTTCCTCTTGTTCCCGAGCTGCCACTCCTCCACGGTTCTGGGCCTCCCGGAGCATCAGCTGCTCTCGCTGTTTGTTCCTCATTCCCACACACAAGGACAACAGCAGCATGACCACGCCAGAACCCACCAAGACAAACGCCACAGAAGATGCTTTATTTTTCCTGCTACCAGTGCCAGTGTCTTCTCCTGAACTGCTGCTGTTACCGGCCGGGTCTGCAGGTACAACACTCCACACAATCATCACAATGCCGAGGGCAACAAGCCCAACTCCTAGAGCACATAGCGCATACTGGGAACCTGAGTTTCCAGTGTTTTCTCTGCTGCTGCTGCTGCTGCTGTTGTTATTGTTGTTGCTGGCAGTCTCTCCTCTGCCAGGGGGTCTCTGTGGTCCATCCACACTGGAACGCATGATGTCAGTCCCTAAACTTCAGTCAGAGCAGCTGTAGTGAAAAACTGTAGAGAGAAAGGCATGTGATGTCAGACACAAAAACAGAAATAAAAAAAAAAAACAATCACATATTTCATATCCTAACGATGTTTCTGACTTTTCTGTAAAAAAAAAAAACACTCACGTTGCAGAGACAATACAGTTCCTTGTTAGCAGTATCCATCCACTGTATAAAGGTCTTACCAAACAAGTCATCGGGGCCCAGAGTCGTGCTCTTTATGAGCGGCCATTCCCATTATTCAGTTAAAGTGACAGGACATAAAATTCACTCAAGTAAAAATATAAAACTGAGGCTTCCAAGAATGGGTGTGTTGCACGGTAAAAGTATTTACAGCAGACTTGCCTCTAAAAGTCCCTACATCAACACATTACAAGGATAGATAAGAACAGCTATGGCACAACAAGCACCCTCAAGAAATATATAGCAATATCTCAGCTGTGCAACATACAGGTTTGTTTTCCTTCTTTTCAACCTTTTTTATCTATTGTATCAAGTCTTTCGTGCAAATCAAAACTCAATATTAAAGTTTAGTTTGGCATTCACTTAACTGTCCCACACAGTAAAATGATTCTCTGAAATGCAATAAGCATGACCAATGAGCGTACTTGCACAGTTACTACTTGGAGTGAGCCATTGATCACAAGTCCACCATCCAGTACAACTGTTTGTTTTTTTTTTCATCCTTGCTAGATCACAGAGTACAGGAGGACAGCTGGGAACTATAAATAACAAGAGTACAAAAAATTAACTCTCTGTGACCATTGAAGAATGTCTTCATGAAGTGCTCATACCAGAGTTTTACCCTTGCATACACCAACCAAGTTTGTTAGTAATATAGTCTGCAAACACGCCCAGACCTAACCCCAACTCCATGTTAGGAATACCCCCTCACTGAAGTATGTGTGGTATGAATCATGCTCATCCTGACAGCTGGGTACATGCAGTATCACCAATATCACACAGAGAAGAGGCCTCTGCTAGCCATACACACAATCACACAAAAGCTTGTTACAGTTGTGCGATCCAGAGGTACAGAGGAACATTTAAGTGCTGATGTCACATAATATGGACTTATGAGAGCCTTTTTACATGCCAGCCTAGGGGTTATATTTCACCACAGGACAGGTTTTACTGTAAAGTAAGTAAGTAATTGACAGGACTGCTCATAAAAAAAAAACCCCCTCATCCACACAGCCCTGAACAACGTGTACTGCCATGGTAGTGTGTGAGATCTGGTGTGTTGGGGAATTTGACCAGTCCGACAGTGTTCCGCTTCTAGGACGCCTTTAAGTTCAGTTGAGTAAGTTTAGTTGGGCTCAGGTGTTCCGCTTTAAATACTGCAGACGGTGATATCTGGGTGTCTACGTGTAAAGGTCGACCCTGCTGGAGCGTTAGGCTACATTTCCACAGTAAACGCATTTGTGACCGTTGTTTCGCCAACACTTCGAGTGCAGCGTCAGTTTCACTACACGCTGGGCGGGTAATTACGTAATGCAGCGCATCAAAACTTTCCAGGATAGAAAACTAAAAAAGAAGAGAAAACGTTCGACTATATTGTCTCTATTCTACCTTTTTGTAACATTACAGCTACACGAATGAACATTTGAACGAATCGGCGTTACACTCACCGTTGCATCGTAAGACAACCAGCAAGTCCTCAGTTCCTCTTCTCAGAGCTGGGGGGTGTGGAGTTTATTCACCCAGCCCGCGCTGACAGCTCTTTATGTGGCATAGTTTGATGGCAAAGCGTGTTTAAAGATTGGAAAGTTTTCTTCCTCTCAGACACGGATGGGCCCTGACAGAGAGGAGGGAGCGCTGGAGGGAGGGAGGGGGCTCCACACCACTCTTCCAGTTTCATTAACCCTTTCAGTCTCGGCCTTGTTGACAGATGGTGTGCAAGTATGTGCAAATAAATTCCTTTAAAAGCTCCTAGGAAGTTTCCAGGGGGTGAAAAATATGTATTTTGGCACAATTTGTATGTAAATAAGAGATATTGTTCAATCAGTTAGTTTCCTATTAAATATTCCAAATTAAATGCAAAAAAAACTAATAGGCTTTGGTCATAGCACAGGTCAGCTGAACAAGCAGAAGTGTACAGTTTGTCTACAAGCAGAATACAGTTCAACATAAATATTTACTAGTGGTTACATGGAGCAGTTTTCTGAGCTCCTGGAAATCAACAGCTGCTTTTAAACTCAATACAGCTTACAGTGATGTCCATCCACACAAGTCTTTAAGCCACATAAGACCATTAACGACGGCTGACTTTGTTCACAGCATACACTTTGACTTGTCACGTGTAACGACATGTAACGATGATTCTGTCTTTTCAAGTGTTCCTGTGAGTCATGACATTGCGACAATGAACCAGCATGCATAATACCAGGACTCTGACACTGAAAAGCTGAATGAAATTTATTTTGTTTTGTTTAATTTTGCCAAAATATCCTCTGTGAAAAAGGCCTGTTGAAAATCAAAACATTTTGGTGTACATGCTGTCATTCATACGTCACTTTGATACTTCACTTTCCTGGTATGAACATAGGTGGCCTATTCCATCTCCACACAGGATCTCTGGAGCTCAGCACCTCTCTTACCAAGGGCCTTCTAGCTCAATTACTCAGTTTGACTGGGCGGCCAGCTCTAGGTAGAGTCCTGGTTGTTCTAAACTTCTTCTATTTAAGAATGATGGAGGTCGCTGTGCTTTTAAGAACCTTCAAGACATTTTTTGTTGCCATCTTTGCCTCAACACAACCCTGTCTCTGAGCTCTGCATGTAGTTCCTTCACCTCATGGCTTGATTTTTGCTCACATATGCATTGTCAGCTGTGAAATATTAATTAGACATGTGTGTCACTTTCCAAATCTTGTCCAGTCAACTGGATTCTTTTGGAATACAACCAAGGTGTAGAAACATCTCAAAGATGATCAAGAGAAATGGAGGCAACCTGAGCTAAATTTCAAGACTGAATACTTAGGTTAATGTGATGTTTCAGTTTTTCCATTTTAATAAATTTGCAAAATTTTCTAAAATTCTGTTTTCACTTTGTCTTTACAGGGTTTTGAGTGTAGATTGATGAGGGAAATGATTTCTTAACATTTTAGCATGAGATTGCAACATAACAAAATATGAAAAAAAAAATAGAAGGAGAAAACTTTCCGAATGCACTGTAGTACAGACAATAAGTACACAATTTGGTGGCAAAATCTCTTGGCACCCCTATTAGAAGAAAGGTTATGCTGCGTTTTTCATGCTGACACGTGGCGTCGTCATCCTTTGTGAGGCATTACATATAGAGGGTGGAGTTTGGTTATGAACTGAGGTGTGTAATGAACTGAATGAAAATCACAGTGGAATATTTTAGTTGTGAACTCAAAAATTTAAAGGAGCTGTTTGTAAGTTGTGATATTGCTAAAATAGCCAACATTAGCATTGACAGCTGTTTAGAGTGTAGAAGAAACATTGAGTGAGTTCAGAATTAAACTTCATTCCTTTAGTCACCAAGAGCTGTGTCTAGCAGTGGAAAGCAACGCCAATGTTGGCTCTTCTGTTTCTGTCACTTCTTTTCTTCTACTGAAGTTAGCATGCTAACCAGCTAGCCCCTGGCCAGACCATCTCGGTACTTTCCGATACCGAGTCACTGTAGAGTCCAGTCTGCCCTGAAGAAGTAGCGCTGCTCAGAGGGTGCATACGCAGCAATGCTAATGATGACTATGTAGCCACAGCAAAACGTACAAATAGCTCCATGTTAACAAATTTATAGCTGCAATTTGTTTATTCCAATCTATAAGTGGTTTTCCTCATTATTAATGAGATAAATGTACTGTATGATCATGCATGCAGTGTTTGTAAAGATGAGACTCTGACAACAATACAATCAGACTGATTAAATAGAATACTAAAAAGGAGTCTAACATCTATCCATCAGTCATTCTCAAAGTTTTGATGTCCATTAGAATATACGTGACTGTCTGGTTTACACAGTGAATAATAACTGTTATCAAATAACAATGAATGACACTGACTCACACTCTTTACTCAATACTTCCCCTTGCGATTAACACTGACAAGTCAGTCGGTTTTATATCATATGTGTCATATGTGTTGAGATTTTTATTCCCTCTTTGTAAATTTACCACCTACTCACAGTTACTCCTTTCGAGCACTTTGGACAGAACCAACCCTGCCAGCGCTCACATGACACGGATAGTCTCCCATTATTCGTGTAGTCAACACATTACATACCTCTAGGTGTTTGTGCTCGTGTATGTGTATGTCTTGTTAATGTTTACATGTCAAGATAGCTACCCAAGACAGCAGAAATGGGCTCCTCCTGGCTTCACTTCCTTGTCTTGGTGTCTTCCTCTGTATCAGCATGCTACAATGAGAACTTGACTATTTTACATTAATGACAAAACCAGTTCCACTGCTGGCCATTGCTGTATTGTTCTGGACTCTGGGGAGATTTTCTTCCTCCTTAGCTTTTGTCTGGTTCCACACACACTCACACACACAAACACACTCACTCACTCACACACACACACATACACACACACACAGAGGGGGGTGGGGGTAGAGAACCACAGTGAATAAGCCATGATTACATCTAGTGGATTGAACTCCTATCAGCCTATAATCAAATTAAGTGATATGTCAGCAGCTACAATGGGAAAATGTTGCTGAAAGCTACAGATAAACTTGATTTACATGGCCTGATAGGCCTAACTGTAGCAAATTAGCTTGGGCTATAAATATATGTGGCTTTGGTTTCCTCAGTTAACATTCTATGCTGCACATCTGTTGCTACAAATAAAACCATACATAACTCCTGATTTAGTTGTTGTCATCCAATTTGCAAGCTCATTCACATCCTCCAACATTCAATTATTGATCTCTGTTTTATGGCTGCTAGGTGAGTATGTAATTACATCTATCCAATGAATGTTTCCCTAATAAGTAGCTCAGTTCATTTCCCAAGAACTTCACAGGACTCACCTTGTTTTATGATATCCCATAGTACAAAGGGGCATCACATAATGAATTGCCTGCTTCATTTTTCCCAACTGTGGGTGGAAAACCAGAAAGGCTTTACGTGAGTTACAACAGCTAGCCAGAGGGTAGCTGTGTCATTCAGTGCTGTGTCATACTTTGCTTGCCACAATGATTGTGTCACTGCGGGTAAGGGGAGGAAGTTGCACCATCTTGTATTGCATAGACGTCTAAACAGAGACCTCTGTTAACGTGTCTAGCAGAGAAAGGGCTGATAACTGGGGTGAGTCACCAAAACATGCTGAAGACTCATTCAAGTGTACAGAGTCAATATCAGCACACAAAGGTAATGATTGAGCTTTTCTACATACATTTTATGTTTTATGAAAAGCACTTTGAATTTCCTTGTGTGTACAAATAAACTTGCTCTGTCATGCCTAGTATGGACCCCCGTCTGCATTGCAGTGCAGGCACTGAACCACATACACTTCCTTACGCAAATGAGTTCAATAAGGAAACAGTTTCTCTCACATCTAGTCTTTTATTCTTCTGATGGTAAGTGATGACATAATTCCTACACCCTGTTATCACCCTTCATTACTTCCTCTTTTCCTCACTGTCAAAGTTCCCCTCATTCATAAATTTCATAAGTTAAAAAAGTGTGATCAATAACCTTTCCTCTTGTTTTTTTATAAACCAATTGGTTGTTGAATGTCGATCTTTGTTTTGATAAAGTTGTTATGTTATTTTGGCATTTAGAGTCATGTCCAATAGCTCTAGTTTGGTCTCCACCAACTCCTGAGACGTCTTTAGCTGCTAGATATGTGATTTTCTCTACCAGCTAGTTGCTATCTTTGTCATTTGGTGCTGGACATGTAGCCTGTAGTAGTTTTTCTGGACTTTATTTTAGTTGATGAGACTGTTAAGGCTGAATTGTACAATAAAGCTAAAAGAGGCTAAAAAGCTGCCTCAAGCTGTATGGAGGGCAATAATTCATTGTTAATTTGGAAAGATATTGATTAGTGGAGCTTTGTTATTGTTGTTAACTGTGTCGTTACATTCTTTTCTCTTTTCAAAATGATCTTTTCCTCACTGAAGTTCCTGCTGAAGATGGACACAACACAGCAATCATATTTGAGATGTCATCTTTATTTCATTAAAAGTAACACTTTCATTTTCACATAATTGCGTCCATACACCTTTTTGCCCGCAGGCTTCATTGGACGTACAAGTCTGCAGTCATCTTTTTTGTTAGCACTGTTCGAATAATATTCCACGTTTACCACACAGTATAAAACATCAGAAGAGGGTGCTACATTTGTTTAGACACAACAGTGTAAATGTGCAAGATGAAAAATTACTATCAAACTTTGTATACTCTAGAATTTAAAATTCAATTCAAGTTTTCAATTCTTTTTTTGTCCATTGTCCTCAGCTACAATGACAAGGCATCACAAACAGCAGAACTGAATGAAACAAGAACAATTTACAATGATATTAAACGTTTTTTTCATTTTGTCTTCAAGTACCCTGTATTATACAAACAGTTTTTAAAAAAAATCTCATTTCCCTCAGAGAAACAGTCTGTCAATAGCAACTAGTCAACAAAAACAAATTACCCAGTCACATACTGGTTCACAAAGAACTGTTTACACACAAAACATAGAAAAATAATCATTTTTTAGCTTGAGTGCTTCATCTCTTGTTTCTGGGTTTGGGAAAGAATCTAAATATCACCAAGCCGCAGTGAGTCTTAAAGTTTTTCTTTATCCAGGAATACTTGTAAAAAAGAATCCTGTCCCTTTTAAAAAGTGCAATCTGTCC